CCCCATATCCCCCCCATCTCCCTGTGTCCCCGTGTCTTTGAGTTCCCCTGTGTCCTTCCTGTGTCCCCCCGCATCCTCACATGTCCCCATGTGCCCCTGTGTCCCTCTGCATCCCCCCATGTCCCTGCGTTGCCCTCTGTGTGTCCCCTCATGTTCCTGCCCTGCCCCCCCGCCGTGTCCCCATCCCCCTCACTTGTGCAGGACACGGCCCCGGATGACCCGCAGGTTTTGGAACACTCCCAGGTCCTCCATCTCAGGTGGCCAGGCAGCGATGTAGAGGAAGCCTGAGGGGAGCTGCGTGTCACCACCCCGTGTGTCCCCCCTCCAAATCTGATCCCCACCCCCACCCCCCACTCCCCCAGTTCTCACCTGTCAGCTCCTCGAGGCTCTCAAAGATCCGCAGCAATTTGGGGTCCAGGGGTGCTGTGTTGGTGCTGGGGTCCCTGGCAGGGACGGGAGGGAGGTTGGAGTGGTTCTGGAGGGGTTCCTGGTGGGCTCAGGGAGGAGGGGATGAGGTGCTTACCCAGCGAAGGTCTCGGGCAGGAAGGCCAAGCTCCCGAAGATCTTGGTGCAGCCGGAGAAGTGCTGGATGTTGGAGGCGTTCACAGCACGGACACCCTTGAGGAAATCCACTCCCAGCCCGTAGCACACTGTGGGGTGGGACACAGCAGGGCTGGGGGGCTCTGCCAGGACCCCCATCCCGCTCAGAACACTCAGTGCCCCAGTCCTGCCAGCCATGGAGCCACCCCACACACCCCCGGGGTCCCAAGAGCTTCACCAGGGGGCTGCTCACCTGCACCTCTGGGGTCCCCGAAGCCCCCAGAGATCCCTGGAGGGTTCCTACCAGCACCCCTGGGGTCCCCAGAGCCCCCCCAGCCCCCGGGGGTCCCTGCTCACCCTCCGGGCAGGGTTTGCTGCACTTCTCACACTTCTGCACGTTGTTGACCGTGACCTCCTGGCTGTTCTGGGGGCACACGAGGGTGCAGGACCCCACCTCCGTGGCAAGGTAGTTATCTGGGGGTGTGTGGGGGGGCAGAATTTGGGTGTCAGGGCTGTGCTGGGCCCCCCCCAGGCCCCCTCTCCCCGCAGTGTCACTCACAGGGACACTGAGTGACACAGCTGGCACCGAAGGTGTAGCGCCCGTCGGGGTTGGGCATCGACTCGAAGGTGTCCGAGTTGTAGATGACGAGGGGGGGGCAGTGCAGCTCGCAGATCCCGCTCCTGTTGAAGTTCAGGCACGCCTGGGGGGGGAGAACAGCCAGTGTGAGAGACCCCTGCACCCCACCCCCACCCCCAGAGCCCCCCTGTCCCGTGCTCACCAGGCAGTCGGAGTGCTTGGGGCCGGTGCAGCCGGCGGCACATTGCTCGTGGCAGCAGTCGGTGGGTTTCGTGCCCTTGCAGCGGGGGCAGCCGTGGCAGATGCTGTTGGTCACTGTGGGGGGGGGGGGGCACACAGGGGCACGTTGGGCACTGGGACCCCCATGGCTTCCCCCTCTCCAGACCGCGTGGGGGTCCCCAGGATGGAGGGGCTGGAGGGGAGGGGTTCCTGTGGTGGGGATTTGGGAGGTCAAAGGTGAGGATCCCCAGGGCAGGGATTTGGGGGCCATGGAGGAGTCAGTGGAACAAGGATTTGAGGGCCAAGAGGAAAGTCAGGGGGTCTCCTGGGCAGGGATTTGGTTGCTGAGGGAAGGTCAGTGGGTCAGGGATTTGGGGCGTAAGCTGAGCCACCCTGGGCAGGAATTCCAGGGGTTTATGGGGCAGGGATCTGGGGGGGGGGCAAAGAAAGTCTCTGGGGCCAGGACTTAGGTGGCAAGTAGGGGTCAGTGGGACAGGGATTTGGGATTGCAAGCAGAAGGACCAGGAATTCTACTGAGGGCAAGATTTAGGTGGCAAGTAGGGATCTGTGGAGCAGGGATATGCAGAGGGAGGGAAAGGGGATTCCCAGGGATTTTGGTGGAGCCCGTGGGGCTTTGGGGGTCCCTGAGGGGGGTCAGAGCCACTGCAGGCTTGGCACTCACACGTCTGGCAGTCCCGTGGGCTCTCGCCCCAGCAGTGCCCCTCGGAGCACAGCGCCTGGCAGTCGGGACCTGCGAGGGGGGAGTTGTGAGTGGGGGGTGCTGGAGACCCCCAGACCCCTTCCCCGGGTCCCACAGCCCCCTCCCCGCCCGCGGGGGCTCTCACAGCTGCGGTTGCGGGCGCTCTCCACGCGGATCTCGCCCCGGAACTCGTTGTGCCGGTGCAGGATGTCGCTCCACAGGATGGTCTCCTGGAAGCACAGCTGGGGGTTCCTCTCGATGTGCACCCCTCCCTTCAGGATCTCTGAGTGGGGGGAGAAAAAAAAGGTGCAGGGAGGGGTCAGTGTGGGGACAGGGGGAGGGTTCTGTAGCCCCCGTGGGGAGTCCCAGGGCTGCCACTCTCCATGGGAACACCCAGTATTGAATGGGGACCTGCCACCCCACAGGACCACCCGTCCCCAGGCAGGACCCCACAGTTCCCAGCACCAGGAGCAGCGCCCACACCTCCGAGCCCCCCGTGTTGGCCCCGGGGGGGGTCCCCACCTGTGAGGTGCCTCATGCCGAGCTGGCGCAGCCCCGGGGTGCCGGTGGGGCCGGCGTTACCCACCACGGCCAGGGCGTAGCGGTCCTGGAAGAGCTGCGTCCCGCGGATGATGCGCAGGCTCTGCAGCTCCAGCCCCCTCACCTGGTTCTCTGCGATCAGCACGTACCCCTGCACCTCCTTGATGTCCTGGGGTTGGGGGGACACGGGTGAGGGGCTGCTCAGACCACCACCTTTCTCCCCCCTCCCCGGTGTTTTCCCGCTGCACACACCTTGAGGAAGGTGGTGTCGGCGTCAGGGGGCAGGTAGGTGAGCTCCAGGTTGCCCTGGACCACCTGGCAGCCCTGGTAGAGGTGCCGCAGGGTCTCGTAGTGGCTCTCGGGGCTGGAGGGTCGCAGCAGCTTCATGTCGGTGCCGGTGCAGACTGTGGGGGACGGCGGGAGCTCAGCGGGACCCCTCGGAGCCCGACTCTTCCGAGCCCCAGCGGGACCCCGAGCCCCGGCCCCCGCAGGAAGCGCCGTGGATCCGGCGGCCACTGTTTATCTCCAGGGCTGCTCCCAACAGCTTCCGATGGGCTTCCTGCATCGCGGCTCCCCCCGGGCTCCAACCCCGGCACACGGCGAAGCTGCTCCCGCTCTGGCACCGGCCCCGCT